GGGAAATGAAACAAAACTAATGACCAGCCCAAACCGACAGGCGGTCCGTGTCGCCTGGTGGTGAGAGGCTTTGCCCTTCCTCCTGAGTCAGAGGTCATGACAGCCACTCCCAAATCTAGAAGGCCCTGTGGGGATTGCTGGGCCCACCAAGAGACCGTCCAACGTTTTCTCGGCCTGCGCTAGCCCTTGATAATCTGGGATTTGGTTCTTCTCTGCAACTCTGGCGACAACCCTTTGGCCTCCACGGCCATCAGCAAGGCCGCAGGGTGCCACTGGTGGGCTTTGGGTCCAGCTCAATGTTTTTGAACTCCATGCAGGTTGACAGCATGTTTGCCTTCCCTCCGCCCCTTTTCATGGCCAAATAACATTCCGCCGCCCGGACAAGCCACATTTCGTTTATTCATCCCTCTGCTGAGGGACATCCGGGTTGTTCCCACCTTGGACTGTTACGGGTGCGGCTGCCCGGCGCTGTTAGATCGCTGTTTGGGGCCGTCGCGTTGCTCCCAACCCATGGTGGCCGGATGCATGCCGCTGCCCCGCCCCCACAATCCTCACAACTGTTGTCCGAGTGGAGCCCATTGCTGCAGCCACTGCGTCCATCATCTCCTTAAGGATCTTCCTGCCCTGTCCCTTTGCTTTACCCAGCACGATGTCCTCCTCCAGGGACCGGGCTCTCCCGATAACCACCTACGGGTCCCAAGTCTCACCATCCTTGCTTCTAAGGCTCATGCTGGCTCCCCTTCTGCCAAATCACATGTTTCTCCCGGCAGTCCACCCACACCCAAACTCAAGGCCAACCAGTCCATTCTGACCCCGGGTACTTGCAATACTCGCCACCAGACCATAATTCAGATGCACCCGCTCCTCAGTGCTCGGGGTCTTTATTCTCTGTCCAGCTTCACGTGCCCAGGCGGCCATGGAAACCGCCGTGGCCTGGGTCAGGCGCACCTGAGTGCTCAAAGCGACACCCTGGGGCAGACTGGCCCAGGGCAACGCTCCATTTGGTTTCCTGACTGCTGCTCTCACAGGCATTGATTATGGATCTGAGCAAGACGAAATCCTTGACCACGTCAATCCCTTCTCTGTTTATCACGATGGTGGCTCTCGGTCCGGTTGTGAGGACTGTTTTCCTTTACCTTGAGTTGTGATCCGTACCGAAGGTGGCAGTCCTTGATTTTCATCAGCAAGGGCTTCAAGTCCTCTCATTTTCAGCAAGGAGGGCTGTTACCGGCATAAAGCAGATCGTTCGTAAGCCTTCCTCAAATCCTAAGGGGGTCTTCTTCACGGGCCCCGGTCTCTCAGATTCTTTGCTCGGCTTACAGACTGAATTAGTCTGGTGAAAAGATACAGCCTGGACGCACCTCTTTCCCGGCTTTAAACCATGCAGTGTTCCCGTGTTCTCGTCCAACGACGGCCTCTTAGTGTGTACACAGGTGTTCTGGAAGTCCCATCCTTCCCAACATTCTCCATAGCTCATTACAAACCACACAGTTGAACGCCTTTGCATACTCGATTTTACTTGTATATATTAACCTGCTGCCAAGCTAGTTCAAGTCAAAGCTGTCCCGTGCAGCCTGCTTCCAGACAGGCCCACACTACTTTCAGGTTTACAAAGCACATAAACTAACGTCAAGTGCAAAGACGAGTTAACTGGTGACCGGTCAGCAATGTGTTAATGATCTTGCTTGATAATATCCACATTCCGTTGAGTCACCTTTCTCCGGAGTGGGCACAAATGGGGATCTGTCTTCCAGATTCCTTGGTAAAGACGAGCGAGTGCTTCCAGCGCTCCATCAGCTTGCTGAAACTCTTCAATTGGCCTTCGCCGCCGCCATCAGCTCCCGCAGCCTCGTCTGCCCCTCATGCCCTCAGGGCAGCTCGCACTTGTTCCTTTAGCACCCGTTGGTCAGATGCTACCTCTTGAAATGGTTCTTGTGGGTACAGTGACTGTGTGTTCCAGGAGCACGCCTGTTCTGTCATGTGCACCGGGCTTAGGGAAGGGCTGGGGGTTAGGAGGCGGAGAGAAGAGCCAGGCAGCTCTCGGCAGGGACGGTAACTCGAGGCTCAGGGAGAGCAAGGTCCTGGGGTGCAGTGGGCCCGGTGCTCCAGCGAGAGAGCGGAGGGGGACGTGAGGGTGGCCAGGGGATGCCCAGGCCACAGGGAGCCCGAAGGTGACTGTGCAGGCTCGGCCTGCATGCTGGGTGCGGGGAGGCACACAGGCGGAGGGTTCTGGCAGATGGATGGTGGCACTTGACAGCGGAACTGGCACACAGCTGGAACACAACCAGCCCTTAGGGGCGGCACTCACTCGCCCCTGGTCTGCGCCGGGACTTTCACCCACCTGACAGCCGTGGTGCTGAACGAGGCCGAGGAGCGGGTAGAGATATAAGGATAGTGCTTGGTGTCAAGCTTGTCCTCAATCGTGTCCTGCGAAGGAAAGACGCAGGGATCAGGCCTGGAAAGGGGTCATGGGAACCCAGACAAGATTCTCCCAGGAACGGGTCAGCAAAAACCATGGCACAGTTTGCAACAACCAGCACACCGGTGGCTCCGCTGTTGGGGGTGGGAGGGTGTGCCTGGCACAAGAGACTTGTCTTCCAATGAAATGAGTGTATGTAGGCCTGGCTCTTCAAGTAAAAGAACAAAACCACATGGTTTTTTTTTTTCCTGGTTTCTCTTCCAACTCCTCCTTTGGTGCCCCTTATTTTACATCCTACGTGAGGTCATAAAGGTTGAATTCTGTCCAATAAACCCGACCCTTGCATTTGCGTGGCGGGTGTCTCACGAAGAGTGCCTTACACTCTCAGTTTCCCAGGGTCCAATTAGCTGGTGGGTGGGGTCCGGCTACCCACCTCCTTGCTGCCTAGAAATCGGCACTCCTCTGCCATCTGCCGCGCCTCTGTCGGGCTCGGGGAGGATAAAGGAGAGGCTGAGGCGGAGGGCTCACCACCGATCCTTTTGGCTTGCGGGTTTTCAAATAGAAAGCTGACTCTCCGGCTAACCACGGAGTCGTCAGAAGGAACACCTGGGCTCTCACCGCAGCCAGCCACAAATGAACCGAGGGTTCATTGTCTGAACTCTAGTTTTGTTCACTGGTCAAGTGAGGGGTCTGGACAGCGTATCTCTACCTCCAGCCCCAAAGATGGGCGGTATGTCCCGGCTCGCTGCAAGGACAGGAGAGGGCCACTAGGAGGCACTGCAACGAAGCCCTGCTCCACGCAGGACACTGCTGGAAGCCACCCCGAGGAGGGGACGGGGCACCGAGCACACGTGCCCACACAGGCCTCCTGGGAGAGGCCGCAGGCGTTCAGAGGCGGGCGGCTGGGGCGGGTGCAGAAACGGCGAACTCTCATGTTGACTTTCAAGGAAAGGAGGACCCAGGAAGTAAAAAGGAAGGGCAAGAATGTTCCGGGCAATGGACCAAGTTTGAAGCAAAGAGCGGAGGAAGAAAGGGGCGTGGCAGGGACCGCCTGGCTGGGGGAGGGGAGCAGACGCAGAACGGGGAGGGCCACCGCAGGCCTTCCACAAGCAGGGTGCTGCGGCATCCCTCGGAGCTGAAGCACCGTGAGCACCCACGTGCCTCCTCTCTAAGTCACTCATCAAACCTTCGTGGCGCTGGGGGGTGCCAGCTCCTTTGGACATGAGTGACAGCTCCTCAAAAACACGAGTCCTGGACGGACCGCAGGGTCTGCACCTGGCAATCTCGTGGAGCCGCTCTGCGTCGCACACTGCGCACAGGTGAGAGAGCTCTGGAGGCAAATCCCCCAAGAAAGAGGGAACTCCCTGGACGGGCGGGTGGGGTCACCGCCTCCTCACCGCACGGGATGCAGGCTGGGTGTGCTCTGAACCACAGATCCTCAGCCTCCCCCAGGGCTCCCCCTCCCACTGACCTCCATGATGTCCTTAATGACGGGTGTCCACCGGGAGAGCTGGTAGGTCTGCTCACTAATGCGCTCCTTCCGCTCGGGCTTGCTCCTGCGGCGCAGCGTCGACTGAAGGCAAACGCACACAGTTGGACCGAACGGGGGACACCTGGGAACCCACCTCCCAAGGACACGCCACCCAGTCCGCAGGGTCAGTCAGAGGAAGAAGCAGGCGGGTTTCCCTAGAACAGCCCCAGGAGCCCCTTTGAGGAACGTGGAGCAATCTTGATTCTTTAAAATCATGGAAATGACAAATGTAGGTCAGATGTGTACGTGCCATTTAGTGTTTGTGTGTGTGTTTGTGTGCGTTTAAGCAGGTTTGCTGCCTATTATGGGATAGCCTATTACTTTGAGTGTGCTGTAATTTCTCATTTCGTCTCAACAGCCTGGGTTGTACCGGAAGAAATCACCTCTATTCTCCTTTGGACCCCACTTGTGAGCAAGGATGGAAAACACCCAGCTTCTGCCAGGCCCAGGTCTGTGGCCCGGTGGCTCTGGGCCCAAGTTTCTTCCCTGAAGATTTTAAAAGAAGCCCCTTCGCCAGCTTGAGCGTGGGCAGCACCTTTTGTGGACGAAGGCCCTACAGAAAGCAGCTCGCAGGCGGCCTCCCCTCGAGTCCCGCAGTGGCCAACCTCCTTCTAGAGAGGGCTGCACCTCCCGGGAAATCGGCCCTGACTTTGTCCGGAATCGCCAGCACCAGAGCCAGAGATGGAAAGGTAGCAAAACTGCTTGATGCTACCTGTTCTATTCCCATCTCCACAGAAGATGCTTTGCCCAAGAGGCCATGCCGGCGTGAGCTGAGGCTGTGGGGAAGGGAGCAGCCTGCGGCTCGGAGCACAGCTTGGCTTCTGTGACTGTCTAGCTGCTTCTACCCCTGAGTTCCCCCGATCCTGACTTTCTCTCTCTCTGTCTCTCGGTGCCGAGCGGGGGCATGTGTGTGCGCCGTAAACTGCCCAGAATCCACCAGAGCACAAGCCGGGCGCGCACACGTCCGCTACTCCTGCATCTCTCCCACAGGAACGCTGGCCGGGGGAAGCCCTTACGTCGGTGACGATGGGCACGCCCAGGTGGGCCATGTTGGTGATGATCTCGCTGTCCTCAGGCGGGATCTGGGCATGCTGGATCAATTTGTTCAGGTTTTCCTCAGTGATGCCTGCGGGCACAGAAACACCCAATCACCAAAACCCAACCCGGGCCCAGGGAGCACCAGAAGCGGGGGCTTTGGGCTCGGGGATGGCCCTTCTCCTCTTCAGGGCTGGTGGGGCGCATTCTGTTTGCCACAGCAGCTTTCCTGCCAGCTGAACAGACACAGGGACAGTCATTCTTCCAGCAGACAGGCCAAGAAATTTGAGCAGGAAGCAGCTCGTCAAGAGGAGAAAAATCAACAGAGATAATACAACTCCCGCCCCGGGTCCCACCATCTAGTCTGGCCACTAGCCGCTGCCCACCCCATGGTCTCCACCATCTGACCCCACGTATCAAAGTCCAATTGGACCCGGAGAGGCTTCGTCTCCATCTTTTACACTGTGGACACTGCTGGGTAACCATGGTGTGGGTAAAGATCAGGATTGAAAGGCACAGGTTACACACGAGATGCACGTTCCGAATCCCTGGCTCTAAGACATTTCTACAGCCAGTCTGTTTTCCACCCCATCTCATACCTGCAGAACCGCTCCCTGGGAGATCGCCAGCCCCCAGTGGTGACCCATGGGCCTGCATGACCTTCCCCTGCTGCACGGGCCCTGGGTCTTCTTATGGGCTCCCCTCTGGCGTCCCCTTCCCACACCTCTTAAACTACTGTTCCTCTTTCTCTCTCTCCCAGCTGCCCAATGTCCCCCAAGAAAGTCTCCATCCCTGTACACCCCGCATCCCTACCATTCTTCAGAAAGATGTAGAGCAGGATGATGCGGATCTTGTCATAAGTGGTGACACTGGCATCCAGTAGGATGGGGACGATGGCTCGCATAGGGTCTTTGATCTTCTCCCCTTCAGCATCTGTGCCCATTGCCAGGTCCTGCAGAAAACACACTCCGCTGGACCCCATTTCCAGGGACAGTCTGGATATTTGGGGCCTATCAGAAAAGCGGTGATCAGTAAGACTTGGGGGATTTGTAGCCTGTGCGAGGAAGATCTTGAAACAGACACACCAAAAAATAAAAGATAAAATAAATAAAAATTTAAAAAAAGAAACAGACACCCCTACTTCCACAGTGCACTGTAATTAGGGATGTCGCCAACAGCATGATGCTCTAAAGCATTCGCGAGCATCGATAGAAGTCCCAGGGTTTCACTTTACAAAAGCAATGATCTGCTGTTTGGCTTCAAGACGGGCTGTTCCCTTCAGGTGAGCGTACCTGTGCACCACAGATCCTCAGGGGCAGCCTCAGCCTTGGTAGCCCCTCCCGAGGCAGAGAGTCGTGCTGGGCAATCAGGGTGGAAGGGCTGTGCTCCCCACGCATGAGATGCTTTGGACATTTTAAGGTGTCTTGGCCTGGCTGGATTCTGCCCACTCTGCTTTGGGCATTTTAATTATTCCAGGAATGCCCACACGTCCCAGTCCCCCCTTCAAATCTGCCTACCATCTTTTTCCCTTTGGATGAGGAGAACAATGGGCTACAAACCTACAAATCTAAGCTGAGGGAGTGGATGGAAGGAAGGGAAGAGGGGTAACAAAGAATTGCAGATGAAAGAGCAAAGCCAGCCCAGTCCCACTGGCCACCGTTTGAGGAGTGACAAAGGGGCAGATTTCCTGTGAGACACACACACACACACACACACACACACACACACACACACACACACACAC